TAATAATAATAGACCAATAGAGGTTGGTAAAATATTATTATTGTTGTTGTTGTTTCCTATTCTTTGGGGAGAGGCTGATCAATAATGATGATGATGATGATGATGATGATGATGATGATGATAATATACTATAACCATGGAGCCTATCCTGTAATGGTCTTCTATTATTATTATTATTATTATTATTATTATTATTATTATCCTCATCATTATTATCATTATTGATCAGCCTCTCCCCAAAGAATAGGAAACAACAACAATAATAATATTTTACCAACCTCTCCTGAAAAAGAGAAAATAATAATAATAATAATAATAATAATAATAGGATAATAATAATGCTGTAACTATGGAGCCTATCCTGTAATTGCTATTATTATTATTATTATTATTGACCAGCCTCTCCCCAAAGAAGAAGAAGGAGAAGAAAATATAATAATAATAGGAAATAATAATAATACTGCTGTAACCATGGAGTCTATCCTCTAACAGTCTTCTATTATTATTATTATTATTATTATTATTATTATTATTATTATTATTATTTACCAGCCTCTCCTGAAAGAAGAGGAAATAATAATAATAATAATAATAATAATACTGTAACCACTCAGCCTATCCTGTAATGGTATTCAATTATCATTATTATTATATTTTCTTCTTTTTCTATGCAGAGATGCTGGTGAATAATAATAATAATAATAATAATAATAATAATAATAATAATACTGTAACAATAATAGTAATAATAATAATAATAATAATAATAAGCCTATCCTGTAATGGTATTCAATTATTATTATTATTATTATTATTATTATTATTATTATTATTATTTACCAGCCTCTCCGCAAAGAAGAGGAAGAAAATATTATAATAATAATAGGAAATAATAATAATACTTCTGTAACCATGGAGCCTATCCTCTAACAGTCTTCTATTATTATTATTATTATTATTATTGACCAGTCTCTCCTGAAAAAAGAGGAAATAATATTTTTTTTTAAAAAAAATACTGTAACCAGTCAGCCTATCTTGTAATGGTCTTCAATAAGGTTACAGCAGTATTATTATTATTATTATTGACACAAAAGCACAGTATGTCACAGCAAACGAGATCTATATGCTGGATTTCGTATCACAAAATCACAATTATTATTATTATTATTCCTCTTCTTTGGGAAGAGGCTGATAAATCATCATCATCATCAAAGACCATTACAGGATCGGCTCCATGTTTACATTATTATTATTATTATTATTATTATTATTATTATTCTTAGATACATAACAAGATAAGTGCACAGCAAACAAGATCACTATGCTGGCTGTATTATTATTATTATTATTATTATTATTATTATTATTATTAGATACATAACAAGATAAGTGCACAGCAAACAAGATCACCATGCTGGCTGTATTATTATTATATTATTATTATTATTATTATTATTATTATTATTATTAGATACATAACAATATCAGTGCACAGCAAACAAGATCACTATGCTGGCATTATTATTATTATTATTATTATTATTATTAGATACATAACAATATCAGTGCACAGCAAACAAGATCACTATGCTGGCATTATTATTATTATTATTATTATTATTATTATTATTATTATTATTAGATACATAACAATATCAGTGCACAACAAACAAGATCACTATGCTGGCATTATTATTATTATTATTATTATTAGATACATAACAAGATGAGTGCACAGCAAACAAAATCACTATGCTGGCTGTATTATTATTATTATTATTATTATTATTATTATTATTATCATTAAACCTAACCATTTAGAATGTGATACGGTGAAAAAATATATTAAAATATTACAAAATAAAAATGGGTCTCTTTGGCAGAGAATTCCAAATCTTTTGCTGAACTGCAAAGCCTAGGATCACAGAGGAATTAGCCCACGACACTTAAAGTGGTATCAAACTGCTATAACTTTGCAGTGCGGACTCACCCTTATAGAAGGGGGTCGGTGGGAAACATAGCAACGTTTTGCTGAAGCTCAAAATCAACGGAAAAGGGTTAATTCTTATTGCTGGTCAATGAAGGGGGTTTGCGAGGGTTTTTTTCCCCTACAAATCTAGCCATTGAGCGACAAGGAGGAATATTTATAGGAATAACAAGTGAGTTGACCGTGAAGTGGATTTCGTGTTGCAAAGTGGGTACAACAAGGACATAGAAGGGACGCTAAAGGGATTGCATTGGCGAATTCGAGGCTAGAATTCCTAATATATCTGAACATATCGGTTCGAATGCCTTTACATAGACTTTGGGTGCGTCTACACTGTACTTTTAACCCAGTTTGGTCCCACTTGGACTGCTATGTCTCAATGCTATGGAAGATACAAGTCCAAAACCAAACCTAATTGGGATCGCAGTATTTTTGAGAAGCATAAAACGTCACAATCGATAGGAACGGAAGCAATGCATCCGCTCCGTATTTTAGTCCGAACTTGGAAGGAGCGACTCCAAAAAAAAACCTCCTGTAAAATTAAGTCTAAACGGCATCAAACTTCCAATTTTATTTTATTAGGAACGGAAGCTTCGGAGCAATGCGTCCGCTCCGTATTTTAGTCCGAACTTGGAAGGAGCGAATCCCAAAAAAACTCCTGTAAAATTAAGTCTAAATGGCATCAAACTTCCAATTTTATTTTATTTTATTTTATTCGAAACGGAAGCTTCGGAGCAATGTGTCCGCTCCGTATTTTAGTCCGAACTTGGAAGGAGCGAATCCAAAAAAAAAAAACCCTTCTGTAAAATTAAGTCTAAATGGCATCAAACTTCCAATTTTATTTTATTTTATTTTATTAGGAACAGAAGCTTTGGAGCAATGCGTCCGCTCCGTATTTTAGTCCGAACTTGGAAGGAGCAAATCCCCAAAAAACTCCTGTAAAATTAAGTCTAAATGGCATCAAACTTCCAATTTTATTTTATTTTATTTTAATTTTTTGGCTGTCTCGAGAAAAAAAATCAGAAATGTGTTCCAAACATTCCCTAAATGGAATGAAGCCTAATGGGATAAAATTCCACCTTTGTATATATATATACCGCATATATATAATATAATATAAAGGAAAGTGTTATTGTATATACACAGAGAGGGACACACACGGCACACCATCGAAGGCTGTTCACGGGGTGATTTCCCTGTATATTATATCTCAACAAAGACGTAGTACGCTAAGTACAGCTGCTAACACACACTACATGTCACTCGGAGTGCCTCTCAAAAGCTGTGTTTGCTCCGCTTCCTCAGAAAGAAAGAAAGAAAGAAAGAAAAGCATCGCTTGGATCGGGAGCTCAGTCTGCATCTATACAAAGAGACTTAGGTGGACTACAACTCCCCAAATCCCCAGTCTAAATGGCTACTCGATTTGGGGGTTACGGTTTCTTAAGAAAAGCATTTAGACTTAGTAATAAAATTGGGGAAAGAGTGGTTTGCAAAACACACAAGGCCCATTTTTGGGGTGCAACGATAATCCAATCTGGGATTGTTAGTTTAATCCTGGTTTACTGCATGCAAGTTGCATCTACTTGGCTCTTCTAATTAGTGCAACACTGGAATGGTTGCGGTAATCCTGGTTTGTTGCAAACTAGATCTTCCATTTTGTGCAATAGTAAAAAAAACCTGGGATTGTTGGTTTAATCCTGGTTTGTTGCAAGCAAGTTGCATCTACTTGGCTCTTCTAATTAGTGCAACACTAAGCAAACCTAGGATTGTTAACTTAATCCTGGTTTGTTGCAAACTAGATCTTCCATTTTGTGCAATAGTAAACAAACCTGGAATTGTTGGTTTAATCCTGGTTTATTGTAAGCAAGCTGCATCTACTTGGCTCTTCTAATTTTTGCAACACTAAGCAAACCTAGGATTGTTGACTTAATCCTGGTTTATTGCAAACTAGATCTTCCATTTTGTGCAATAGTAAATAAACCTGGGATTGTTGGTTTAATCCTGGTTTATTGCAAACAAGTCGCATCTACTTGGCTCTTCTAATTAGTGCAACACTAAGCAAACCTAGGATTGTTGACTTAATCCTGGTTTGTTGCAAACTAGCTCTGACAGCTTGTGCATAAATAAACCTAGGATTGTTGGTTTGATCCTGGTTTATTTCAAGGAAGTTGCATCTACTTGGCTTTTCCAATTAGTGCAACACCAAATAGACCTAGGATTATTGATTTAATCCTGGTTTGCTGCAAACGAGCTTTTCCATGTGCAACAGTTTTCTTGTGCAACAGTAAATAAACCTGGTATTGTGGTCTTAATCCTGGTTTATTACAAAACAGTTCTTACAGCATGTGCAACACTAAGCAAACCTGGTATGTTGTCTTAATCCTGGTTGTGCAACAAACCTGGGATTGTTGTCTTAACCCTGGTTTATTGCAAAACAGCTCTTCCATCTTGTGCAATACTAAACAAACCTGGGATTATTGGTTTAATCCTGGTTGTTGCAAAACAATTCTTCCAACAAACAACACTAAACAAACCTAGGATGGTTGGTTTAATCCTGGTTCATTGCAAACCAGATTTAATAGCTTGCACAACACTAAGCAAACCTAGAATTGCTGATTTAATCCTGGTTCATTGCAAACTATCTCTTCTAGTTCATGCAACACTAAACAAACCTGTGATTGTTGTCTTAATCCTGGTTCATTACAAACAAGTTGCATCTATTTAGCTCTTCCAATTAGTGCGACACTAAACAAACCTGGGATTAATGTCTTAATCCTGGTTTATTGCAAACCAGTTCTTCCAGTTAGTAGAACACCAAACAATCCTAGCATTGTGGTCTTAATCCTGGTTTATTGCAAACTAGCTCCTACAGCTTGTGCAACACTAAATAAACCTGGCATTGTTGATTTAATCCTGGTTTATTGCAAACATGTTATGTTTACTTGTTTCTTCCAATTAGCACAACACTAAACAAATCTAGAATTGTTGGTTTATTGCAAACCAGCTCCTACAGCTTGTGCAACACTAAATAAACCTGGCATTGTTGGTTTAATCCTGGTTTATTGCAAACATGTTGTGTCTACTTGTCTCTTCTAATTAGCACAACACTAAATAAACCTGGGATTGTTGGTTTAATTCCAGTTTTTTGCAAACCAGCTCTGCCAGTTTATGCAACACTAAATAAACCTGGCATTTTTGGTTTAATCCTGGTTTAGTGCAAACCAGTTCTTCCATTTTGTGCAACACTAAATAAACCTAGGATTGTAGATTTACTCCTGGTTTATTGCAAACATGTTGTGTCTACTTGTCTCTTCCAACTATTGCAACACTAAATAAACCTGGGAAATCCTGGTTTAATTCCCATTTTTTGCAAACCAGCTCTGACAGTTTATGCAACACTAAATAAACCTGGCATTGTTGACTTAATCCAGGTTTATTGCAAACTAGAGCTTCCATTTTGTGCAACAGTAAACAAACCTGGAATTGTTGGTTTAATCCTGGTTTATTGCAAACCAGCTCTAACATCTTGTGCAACACTAAATAAACCTCAGATTGTTGGTTTAATCCTGGCTTATTGCAAGCAAGTTGCATCTACTTGACTCTTCTAATTAGTGCAACACTAAGCAAACCTCGGATTGTTGGTTTAATCCTGGTTTATTGCAAACTAGATCTTCCATTTTGTGCAACAGTAAACAAACCTGGAATTGTTGGTTCAATCCTGGTTTATTGCAAAACAGATCTTCCATCTTGTACTGAACTAAACAAACCTGGGACTGTTGTCTTAATCCTGTGCAACACTAAATAAACCTAGCATTATTGATTTAATATTGGATGATTGCAAACCAGCTCTTACAGTTTGTGCAACAGTAAACAAACCTGGAATTGTTGGTTTAATCCAGCTCTGACAGCCTGTGCAACCCTAAATAAACCCAGGAGTATTGGTTTAATCCTGGTTTATTGCAAACAAGCTGCAACTACTTGGCTCTTCCAATTAGTGCAACACTAAACAAACCTAGGATTGTTGTTTTAATCCTGGTTTGTTGCCAATAAGATGCAAACCTAGGATTTTTGGTTTAATGTGTTGCCAGAATGGGCCTTGGAGAGTACATGCGCATATATATATGTAAATATATATATATAGGGAAAGAGCAGAGCCTTCTCTTGGGACCCTACCCTCTAAGCCTGTCCCTTGATAAATCCCTTTATCCTAATTCTGGGAAAGGAAGTAGGTGCAGCGGAGAGAGGTTGTGTGCCTACATTATATTGTTGTGTGCCAGGAAACCGAACGCAGGACCGCATAACATTATTTCTCACAAACTACCTAGGGAAGTGGGTGTCAGGACGGTGTTCAAATATGTCTTAACAAGGCACTGGGGTTCACTAGAACAGCCATCGGGGAAGGAGAGATGAGAAAAGGAAAAAGAAACAAGATCCGAAGAGCAGTCTTTCTTTTGATTACTTGGAGAGCGAAGAAGAAACAGCAGGGAAGAAGGGATGGGAGGAAGAAGGGAAGGAAAGAAGGAAGGAAGGAAGGATGATCAAGGGACGTTTACGACTGCATCTCGGCACGCAGCATCCAGGGGAACCAGCAGCAGAAAAGTAACCTGCAAGAGAAATAATAATAATTGCAAAGTTCCATGCATTTTGCAATAAGGTGGCTTCCCTTGGTTTGCAATCATAGGGCCAATGACCCATCAATTATCATTATGTTCTTTAGTTCTGCCCCTTTTTCTGGGTTAAGGAGGGAAAAAGGGGACCTCTAGTTCAGTTCACACAGAGAAGCCTTTCGTACAGGACGTGAATCAGTTCCACCTGTAGAAAGCTTCATCTTTCACAGCTTTGCTGGGGGGATCCAGTCCCACAGCTCTACAGAGAACTACGGCATAGCCTTTGTTGGGGAATTTAGTTCCACAACTCTACAGCCAGCCTTCGCTGGGAATTGAAAGCCTTCTTTCCTTTTGGAAATTTACTAAAGGACTCTGTTTGGTAAGGACCACTCGCGGCAGCCATAATGCAAATTGGAACCGGGTGTAGGGGCCCCACGCCAGCAAAGCCTAAATACAGATTGCCCAAGGAGGGGTCAAGGATTTCCCTTATAGAAGGAAGGAACAGTTTATGAAGAAAGTTGCATGTCCCTTGTGGACAGGATTTAAGCAAGCCACCAGTTGATTCAAAGCCTTGAAGTATTTGTTTGATTTATTGAAGATTTAAGCAACAATAAAAACTTTCTTGAACTTTCTAAGCCTTTAAAAGAACTTTGTGTGGGGAAATCCGAAAGGCCTCTCAGCTGAGGCACCCCCAGCGTCCCATTAGGCATTCAGAAAACACAACCTGTCTACAGACTCTTTCACAGGCCCAGCACATTACAGCACAATAATAATAATGAGAATAATAATAAGAAAAATAATAATAGTGGGTTGCTGTGAGTTTTCCGGGCTGTATGAAATGATACTTCGCTTACCTAGAAATAGAGCTTTCCGACGTGATGTCTTTCGGGGTTCTGACTGCTGTGAAGTTGCGCTTTGGCTGTGAAACTGCAAGAGAGAGAGAAAAAATTGATTCCATCGCATTGTGGTTTAATACTGTGTTAATTCTACAGTGTAGATGCACCTTAGGCAGCTACGGAGGAACCAGACTAGATCCTAAAGCAGGGGCAGCTCATCCATTACGCGAAGTAAGCGGTCGCAGAACACTTTTTTTGCCAGGGGCGCAGAGGCGCCTCTGTAAATGCCCCTCGACCGCCACTTGAGGAGCGCCCCCTCAGCTCACAACAGCCCTAGCAGTCCGGGGGGAGCCTCGGCTTTCTTGCCTCGCTGCCGGACGATCCTCTTCCCAAAGGGGCCGGGCCCTTGAGCCTCGCCTAGCCCCTCTCGTTCCTGCTCCACCCGGCCACCGGGTGCGCGAGCAGAGCCGGCGCTCAATCGTTCTCTGCGTTCGATCCCTTCCCCATGACCGGCTCCCTTTCCTGATCCCCCGGCGCTCCACCCGCCTCCTCTCCTCTCCCCAATCCTGCTTCGGGTCCGGAGGCATGTCTGAAGACCCCAGCGTGCGCACCAAAAGTCGCCTCTTCTCCTGACTTTCTCTTCAGCCATTGGGACTAAGAGAGAGAGAGAGAGAGAGAGCCCCTCCGGCTGGAGGTATCTCCCACCTCCGCTCCCTCCTTTGTTTTTGTGCCTACCTTCAGGAAAGGTGGGCATCTCCACCTCTCTCTCTCTCTCTTGGTCCCAATGGCTGAGGAGAAAGTCAGGAGAAGAGGTGACTTTTGGTGCACACGCCGGGGTCTTCAGGTACGCCTCCGGACCCAAAGCAGGCCAGGCAAGGGAGCAAGTGCGGCAAGTGTAGTTACTGGGATGTATAATAATAATTATTATTGCTATTATTAATACATATTGATTTAGGATTGTCTGCGCAACCTCATCTTTCTCTGAAAACCCTATCCTAGTTTACTCTACTTTGTTCATGCCCAGCATTTTTAAATTTTAAATTTTAATTATTACATTTGGCCCGGCCATAGGTTTTAAATGCTGTATGCTCTCCCTTGGGGAGATGGTAGCGGGGTACAAATAAAGTTTTATTTATTTATTTATTTATTTATTTATTTATTTATTTATTTATTTATTATATAAATAGTTGGGCGGGCAAACCTAACTTCAGTATTGCATGATTTATCTTGGGCCTTTAGGACAGAGGCGGCCCTAGGTAATTTTCAACGGTAAGCAAACAGTATTTTGGCACGTCCCGTCCCCGCAACCAATCATTGATATATATTTTCTGTTCGTCGTGGGAGTTCTGTGTGCCATATTTGGTTCAATTCCATCATTGGTGGAGTTCAGAATGCTCTCTGATTGTAGGTGAACTATAAATCCCAGCAACTACAACTCCCAAATGACAAAATCATTTTATTTTATTTTTGCATGAGGGACATACATTGGGTTGTTAGGTGGCTTGTGTCCAAATTTGGTGTCAATTAATTAATTAAAGAATAATTATTATTATTGTGTCCAAATTTGGTGTCCTTTCACCAAGTGGTTGTTGAGTTCTGTTAATCCCACAAACGAACATTACATTTTTATTTATATAGATTATTATTATAATTATTATTAATTTCCACCCTGCTTTATCTCTCTACAAAGTGATGCAAAGTGGCTGACACCAAAAGCAATGTGTTATGTAAGAAACACATAAACATTAAAATAGGATTTTAAAAATATATAGTTAAAAACACTAAAACCATTAAACAAATTTATTAAAATACAACGAAGAATCCCAAAGTAAATAAATTCTCCCTAGAAGCCAATACGATCAAAGTGTTGTATGTTTTTCCTAGGTCGTCCATTTATAGAATTGCTTGTAAGACCTAGAAGGGACATATATTGTCAGATAACTGAAACCATTGATTCTGTGGATATGGGGGGGTCGTATATGAAATGATCCTCCTATTGAAGTATCTAAACTTATTAGGTTTTTTTGAACGTGCCATCCTAAGACTGCAATACGTTGCCATAGGAGTAAAAAAAAAAATCTCTTGCAAATCTAATCACCTCTCAACAAAAGATTGCTCCAGGCACTGCTAGGCAATCAAATGCTAATCAAGATGATCAGTTGAAACATTCACACCTAGCTCCAACAGACAAGAGTCCTTTGTCTTACCCTGGTCATTCCACAGATATAGTTCCAACAGACCTCACTACCTCTGAGGATGCTTGCCATAGATGCAGGTGAAACGTCAGGAGAAAATGCCTCTAGAACATGGCCACATAGCCCGAAAAAACCTACAACAATCCAACTCTTGCAAATATTTCGTCCCAATCACAATCCCAATCATAATAATCCCAATGCAAAGGAACAGCAATGAGGAACAAATCCATACTTGTGACTTGGTGGACCTTCTTTGCCGAATTGCCATCCTGAGCATCCTTCGGGCCTCCGATTCTGCAACACAGACAACCACCATTAACTCCCAATTTAAGACAATGCAAACCATTAAATGAAATTGGTGCAATTCAATTTAGAATTAGGATCATCAAATCAGGACCTGTAATAGATTGCTATTCCTATACATTCCCATTGTCCTCTAAGGATCTGGACTTATATATAATTGCATTTCTGAATGTAAATAAACTGCATTGAACTGGATTATATAGCAGTGAAGGCTCATATCATTCACTTCAATAGGGTTTCATGTGCATTACATGAGTCATTCTATAATGACCATAATAATGCAGTTCAAACAACAACAACAACAGCAACAACAACAATTTCTAATTTCATGGTACTGTTGTGAAAGCTGGACAGTAAAGAAAGCAGATAGGAAGAAAATCAAATCATTGGAAATGTTATTATTTCTATTATTATTATTATTATTATTATTTGATACACATCAAGATGAGTACACAGCAAACAAGATCACTACACTTTTGCAGGTACAACTGTACCAGGAGCTCCAATTTTGTTTGCTTTTCATTTAATGTTTGTTATAGTCCTAAGTTTCGGGGACTCTTCAGATAGGTGGCTTCTTTTGACTGCAATCATAGGGCAAGCCACCTGTCAATTATAGTTAGGTTCCCTGGTCCTTTTTGGGTTTTAGAGGGAATAGGAGCCATCTTGAGTTCAGTCCACACAGAGAAGCCTTTCATGCAGGACATAATACCAAGAGCTCCTGTAGAAAGCTTCGTCTTCTACGGCTTGGCCGGGGAGATTTGCAGCCCACAGTTTGGCTGGGGTTATACAGCCCTACATCTCCTTTGCTGAAGGACTTCAGCCAGCCATCACCGAAACCTGAACTCCTTTCCGCCCTGAGTTGCCTGCAGGCTGATATGGGCGGGATATAAGTGATGTAAATAAATAAAATTTCCCCCTGGAAGTCTACAAAGCGCTGCTTGGTAAGGGTCGCTTGCGGAAGCCAGACGCAGTTGGTACCGGGTGCAGGGGCTCCACGCCAACAGAGGCAAGTACAGACTGCCCAGATTAGAAGTTAAGGATTTCCCCATTAGATACAGTTATGAAGATAGTGCCTGTTCCCTGTGGACAAGATTGAGAGAGAGAGCCAATAGACTGTTAAGAAAGCCTTAAAGTACCAGTTTGATTTCAATAATAAAGAACTTTGTTGAACCTTTAAGCAATCTAAAGACTCTGTTTTAAGGAAATCCAAGGGCCTTTAATCTGAGGCAGCCCTGGCGTCCCGTTGGGCACACGGAATTTATGTCCTGTCTACAGTCTTATGCACAGACTCAGCGTGCAACAGCACAACACTGGCTTTTGTATTGGATCATAAGGTGGACACTTCCCAGGTGTCTAGGACTGTGTGATGTATCTTCTTGTCAGTCTAAATCCGGAAGTCCCAGAGGAGTTTGACGTGTTCATTCTCTGTGACTTTTTCAGGCTTGTGATCCCACCAGTTCTTTGTTGCAGGCAGATGGTGTTTGTGGCACAAGTTCCAATGGATCATCTGAGCAACGGTGTTGTGCCTCTGCTTGGAGTCTGTCTGCACGATCTTCTTGCACCAGCTCAGGATATTCAGACCCCACACTTGGAATCCCTGTTGTTGTTATCATTATTGTGTTTGGACTGCCAAAGATGATCCAGGATATCTTTTTGTGAGATACTCAGAAAACTAACTGTACTTTCCTTTTCCCTTATGTGTTAGATGTTCTTAGGGTCCATCTAATAACAACAACAACAACAACAACAACTTCTAATTTCTTTGTACAGTTGTGAAACGTGGACAGTGAAGAAAGCGGATAGAAAGAAAATCAGCTCATCATTATTGTTGTTGTGTTTGAGCTTAAAATTATTATTATTATTATGACATAATATTAATAATAATAACTTCTAATTTCTTTGTACGGTTGTGAAACATGGACAGTGAAGAAAGCAGATAGAAAGAAAATCAACTCATTATTATTATTATTATTATTATTATTATTATTATTATTGTGTTTGGGCTTAAAATTATTATTATTTTACTGACACAATAATAATAATAATAACTTCTAATGGCGGTGGTTGACAGTATCATAAGCCGCTGACAGGTCTATGAAGACAGCTCCTGTGATCTGCTGCCTTTCAGAGCTATCTTCTATGTGCTGAGTCAGGTTCAGCACTTGCGATGTGCAGCTTTTGCCTTTCCTGAAGCCAGCTTGCTGTGGAATCAGACATGAGTCTAGTTTTTCCATAATTCTATGCAAAATAAGTCTCTCCAGAACTTTGTAGAGGTGGCACAACAGGGAGATTGGTCTGTAGCTTTTTGGGTCATTACGGTCTTTGCCTGGCTTCAAGATGGCGATGACTCTTGCTTTCCTCCAGATTTTGGGGATCTGACAGGATGCATTGCAGTTGTTCATCAGCTCCAGCAGCCAGCGCCTTGCTTTTGGACCAAAGTTCTTGATTTGTTCCATCCGTAGATCATCCAGGCCAGCTGCTTTGCCTTTCTTACATTTTTTGAGAGCCATGTCCAGTGTGGAACACATCTCACCACACTAAAACAGTGGATGTGGCTCTTAATGAGACATGCCGCATTATCACAGGGTGTCTGCGCCCTACACCACTGGAGAAATTACACTGCTTAGCCGGTATTGCACCACCTGACATCCGCCGGGAAGAAGCAGCCAATAGTGAAAGGACCAAGGCAGAGACATCTCCAGCTCATCCCCTGTTTGGGTATCAGCCAGCACGTCAACGACTTAAATATAGAAATAGTTTTCTAAGATCTACAGAGACACTCGCTGGAACACCTCAGCAAGCGAGAGTCCAAAAGTGGCAGGCTCAAACCCAGAACCTCAACCAATGGCTGATACCAAATGAGAGACTCCCTCCTGGGCACACAGAAGACTGGGCTCTGGCACCACGAACAGACTGCGCTCTGGCACCACGAGATACAGAGCCAACCTCAAGAAATGGGGCCACAAAGTGGAATCCACGACATGCGAGTGTGGAGAGAGCAAACCACTGACCACCTGCTGCAATGCACCCTGAGCCCTGCCACAAGCACAATGGAGGACCTTCTTGCGGCAACACCAGAGGCACTCCAAGTGGCCAGATACTGGTCAAAGGACATTTAATCAACTACCAAACTCACAAATTTTGTATTTTGTCTGTTTGTTTGCTTTGTTCTGTTAGAAATGTAATATAATTTGACTGGTTGTCCTGACACGACAAATAAATAAATAAATAATATCATAATTATGTTTATGTTTATTTATACCCTGCTTCTTCTCTCTATGAACGAGTCTCAAAGCGGTTTACAAAAACAATCCATTCAATACAATTTAAAACCCCAAAATATGCAAACACTAAAATAGAATTCAATATTGATATTAATAAGGGCCTTCTCAGTGGTGGCCCCTGGGCTGCGGAACGCCCTTCCTACAGATATTAGATTGGCCCCCTCCTTATTGGCATTTCGGAGGAAAGTGAAGACCTCGTTGTTCGAACAGGCATTCGATTAGGCAGTGTAATTGATCATAGGAACACGGAATAACGGATGATGAGATTGGATTCTGATTCTATTGATTGAGACGTGAATGATTTGTCATATTGATGTTTAATTATTGTTATGCCATTGTTTTTAAATGATCCAATGGTTTTGTAATGTGTGTATTGAAATTGCTGTTGTTAACCGCTTTGAGTCGCCTACGGGCTGAGAAAAGCGGTAGATAAATGAAGTAAATAAACAAATAAGAGGAAACAGTTTAAATCCTTAAAACTGATGCAGAGCTCAAACCAAAGCACCCCTGACTTAATGTTATTGTTATCTTCGTTATAGTTCACTTGGTCAAAAAGGGAAAAGTTTCCTATGTTTTTGCAAATAAGTAAGGGGGTGGACTAGATGGCCTCTGGGGACCCTCAGAAATAAGGAATCCACTCACCTCTGAACCCGGGAAGGAGGTGCAAAGACCCCGTGTTTCGGGGCGCAAGTGAAATATCGGACCCCGAACACCGAACCGTCATGTTTCCCGGTGGGTTTGTCCAACTCAATGCCGAACCAATAGCCTGGAAAAGAAGGAATATAAACATTTCTGTTCTGTTCCTGGTTTGCAAGTGTTATTTCCTGTTTAATTGTGCGGTCCTTACTCCGAAAGTAGTTGTTCTACTCCAGAAACGTTGTTTTTGTGCCATACACTATGTCGAATTGTTTGAGACCCTGTGAGATATTCATTGAAAAACTACAGCAAACATGTGCTGCAGGAGGACGTCCCTCCCGCAAATACAAAGTTTTGAAAGGTTAATCAACTTTTCTCATGTTTCTATGATAGATCCAATCAGGAAATGACATTGATAACCCAGGAACGTAGTGTAAGACTAGATCCAATCAGGAAATGACATTGATAACCCAGGAACGTAGTGTAAGACTAGATCCAATCAGGAAATGACATTGATAACCCAGGAACGTAGTGTAAGACAGTGTTTCTCAACCTGGGGGTCGTTGGTGGGGTTCAGAATGCTCTTTGATTGTAGGTGAACTATAAATCCCAGCAACTACAACTCCCAAATGTCAAGGTCTACTTTCCTCAAACTCCAGCAGTGTTCACATTTGGGCATATTGAGTATTCATGCCAAGTTTGGTCCAGATCCATCATTGTTTGAGTCCACAGTGCTCTCTGAATATAAGCGAACTACAACTCTCACACTCAAGGTCAATGTCAGTCAAACCCTTCCAGTATTTTCTGTTGGTCATGGGAGTTCTGTGTGCCAAGTTTGGTTCAATTCCATCATTGGTGGAGTTCAGAATGCTCTTTGATTGTAGGTGAACTATAAATCCCAGCAACTACAACTCCAAATGTCAAGTCTATTTCCCCTAAACTCCACAAGTTTCACATTTGGGCATATTTAGTATTTGTGCCAAGTTTGGTCCAGATCCATCATTGTTTGAGTCCACAGTGCTCTCTGGACGTAGGTGAACTACAACTCCAAAACTCAAGGTCAATACCCACCAAACCCTTCTAGTGTTTTCTGTTGGTCAAGGGAGTTCTGTGTGCCAAGTTTGGTTCAATTCCATCATTGGTGGAGTTCAGAATGCTCTTTGATTGTAGGTGAACTATAAATCCCAGCAACTACAACTCTCAAATGACAAAATCAACCCCCCCAAACCCACCAGTATTCAAATTTGGGTGTTCAGAACCACTGGTGTAAGAGATGAGAAAAGGCTTGGGAAGGTCTCCGCCCGGCCCACCTGTCGTTCTTACCTGGGGCAAAGTCGGTCTTCCCATAGAAGCGGATGAGACCTTGCTTCTGGCCGGCCACCAGCACTTGGTCCCCGATCTCGATCTTCAAGCCTTCGCGGTCCAGGCTGCCCACGGAGAGGGACTTCTTCCTCAGAGCTGGGAAAGACAACCAAGGCTCAATGCTATAGACTCCCGGGAGTTGTAGTTTCACGAAGGGAGCACAGCTTGACACCCCTTTAAACGCCATGGCTCAATGCTATGGAATCCTAGGAGTTGTAGTTTTGCTAAGGGCATATGGTTGGACACGCCTTTAAATAGCTCAATGCTATGGAATCCTGGGAATTGTAGTTTTACTAAGGCCATATAGTTTGACCCCCCCTTTATATGCAATAGCTTAATGCTATTGAATCCTGGAAGTTGTAGTTTTACTAACGACATATGGTTTGGCACCCCTTTATATGCAATAGTTTAATGCTATCGAATTCTGAGAGTTGTAGTTTTACTAAGGGCATATGGTTGGACACCCCTTTATATGCAATAGCTTAATACTATGGAATCCTGGGAGTTGTAGTTTTACTAAGGGCATTTGGTTGGACACCCCTTTAAATTGCTCAATGCTATAGAATCCTGGGAGTTGTAGTTTTGCTAAAGGCATATGGTTGGACACCCCTTTCAATGACTCAATGCTATGGAATCCTGGGAGTTGTAGTTTTACTAAGGGCATTTGGTTGGACACCCCTTTAAATAGCTCAATGCTATGGAATCCTGGGAGTTGTAGTTTACTAAGGGCATATGGTTGGACACCCCTTTAAATGGCTCAATGCTATTGAATCCTGGGAGTTTTAGTTTTACCAAAGGCATATGGGTTGACCCCCCCCCTCTTTAATATGCAATAGCTTAGTGCTATTATTGAATCCTAGAAGTTATAGTTTTACTAAGGGCATATGGTTTGACCCCCCTTTATATGCAATAGCTTAATGCTATCGAATTCTGAGAGTTGTAGTTTTACTAAGGGCATATGGTTTGACACCCCTTTAAATGGCGAAATGCTATCGAATCCTGGGAGTTGTAGTTTTACTAAGGGCATATGGTTTGATACTCCTTTAAATAGCTCAATTCTATGGAATTTTGTGAGTTGTAGTTTTACTAAGGGCATATGGTTGGACACCCCTTTATATGCAATAGCTTAATGCTATGGAATCCTGGGAGTTGCAGTTTTACTAAGGGCATATGGTTGGATACCCCTTTAAATGGCTCAATGCTATCGAATCCTGGGAGTTGCAGTTTACTAAGGGCATATGGTTGGACACCCCTTTAAATAGCTCAATGCTATGGAATCCTGGGAATTGTCGTTTTACTAAGGCCATATAGTTTGACCCCCCCTTTATATGCAATAGCTTAATGCTATTGAATCCTGGGAGTTGTAGTTTTACTAACGACATATGGTTTGGCACCCCTTTATATGCAATAGCTTAATGCTATCGAATTCTGAGAGTTGTAGTTTTACTAAGGGCATATGGTTGGGCACCCCTTTAAATGGCTCAATGCTATCGAATCCTGGGAGTTGTAGTTTCACGAAGGGAGCACAGTTTGACACCCCTTTATATGCAATAGCTTAATGCTATCGAATTCTGAGAGTTGTAGTTTTACTAATGGCATTTGGTTGGACACCCCTTTATATGCAATAGCTTAATGCTATCGAATTCTGAGAGTTGTAGTTTTACTAAGGGCATATGGTTGGACACCCCTTTAAATGGTTCAGTGCTATTGAATCCTGGGAGTTGTAGTTTTACTAAGGGCATATGCTTGGCCACCTCTTTAAACAGCTCGATGCTATGGAATCCTGGGAGTTGTAGATTTACTAAGGGCATATGGTTGGACACCCCTTTAAATGGCTCAATGCTATCGAATCCTGGGATTTGTAGTTTACTAAGGGCATATGGTGACACCCCTTTAAATAGCTTAATGCTATCGAATCCTGGGATTTGTAGTTTACTAAGGGCATATGGTGACACCCCTTTAAATAGCTCAATGCTATCGAATCCTGGGATTTGTAGTTTACTAAGGGAATATGGTGACACCCCTTTAAATAGCTTAATGCTATGGAATCCTGGGAGTTGTAGTTTTACTAAGGGCATATGGTTGGACACCCCTTTATATGCAATATCTTAATGCTATCGAATCCTGGGAGTTGTAGTTTTACTAAAGGCATGTGGTTGGACACCCCTTTAAATGGCGCAATGCTATCGAATCCTGTAGTAGTTTTACTAAGGGCATATGGTTGGACACCCCTTTAAATAGCTCAATGCTATGGAAACCTGTGAGTTGTAGTTTTACTAAGGGCATATGGTTGGACACCCCTTCAAACAGCTCAATGCTATGGAATCCTGGGCATATGGTTGGGCACCCCTTTATATGCAATAGCTTGTGGGAGTTGTACTTTTACTAAGGGGGCACAGCTTGACCTCACTTGAACTGCCATGGCTTAGTGCTATGCAATACTGGGAGTTGTAGTTTTAGTAAGGGAGCATGGTTTGACACCCACTTGAACTGCCATGGCTCAGTGCTATCAGATCCTGGGAGCTGCAGTTTTACTAAGGGCATATCGTTTGACACCCCTTTAAATGTCTCAATTTTATGGAATACTGGGAGTTATAGTTTCACTAAGGGAACACAGTTTGACCCCAGTTGAACTGCCATGACTCAATGCTATGCAATCCTGGGGGTTGTAGTTTGCCCTCTTTGGGCAAAGGAGGCTCAAGACCTTGTCAAACTACAACTCCCATTATATTTGTAGTGAAGGGGCCTAGGTTTCTATGCCCAAGCATTGTGATTTGAACCCTAGCCTTTGGACTCCAACACAATTACATTGGTTTATTTCTTAGGAGGAAGGAGGACCAAAACTGAAATACATATAAATACACAATCTTAAAACCAGGGATGCGGGTAAGAAATAAAATTGTTATTGTTGTTGTTGTTTATTGTTGTTGTTATTTATTTTTATAATAATAGTTGTTGTTGTTGTTGTTGTTATTATGACAGCTGGGAAACAAGGGCTAGGAACCCCACCTTTCTTGTCTTTGTCCTTCTCCTTGCGTCCCTTGGCGGTCATGCGGGAGAAGTCCATCCGTGGGGTCCGAGGGGTGGAAGTGACCGAGGAAGGGGTCTGGTCAGCCGCTTTGGTGATCTTGGACACCGAGGCAAACACTCCTGCAATGGCAGAGAAGAAGAAGAACATTGTTTAGGGAGGAATTTGGATCTCGTTCTCTGGACATTTCTGAGAAGAGTCTAAACAACTGCATGCTTTGGGAGTTCCAGCCCAGGCATGGGCCAACTTTGGCCCTCTGAGTGTTTGGGACTTTAATCCCCACAATTCCTGACATGCTTTCTGTATGCCCAACGGGACACCAGGGTGCCTCAGCTAAAGGGTCCCATAGATTTCCCAACACAAGTTCTGTAGAGGCTCAAAATAAGTCCAACAAAGTTCTTTATTAAGGCTTAAATCTTCAAAGAAATGAATTAAATGCTTTATAATCTTGAAAAACTAGTAGCTTTCTCCATCTGCCGACAAGGGACAGGCAACTGCTTGATAAACTGTTCCTTTCTTCTTTAGGGAAACCTTCCAACCCCTCCTTGGGCAATCTTTCTTTACCCTGCTGGCGTGAGGCCCCAACTCCCGGCTCCAAGCTGCGTTATGGATAGCCCGAGTGACCCTTACCAGGGAATGGTTGCTGTAGATCTGCCAAGCTGAAACAAACAGTATTTTGGCGCCCCCGCCCCCAACCAATCATTGATATATATTTTCTGTTCGTCGTGGGAGTTCTGTGTGCCATATTTGGTTCAATTCCATCATTGGTGGAGTTCAGAATGCTCTTTGATTGTAGGTGAACTATACATCCCAGTAACTACACTTGCCGCATTTGCTCCCTTGCCTGGCCCGCTTTGGGTCCGGAGGCGTGCCTGAAGACCCCGGCGTGTGCACCAAAAGTCACCTCTTCTCCTGACTTTCTCCTCAGCCATTGGGACCGAGAGAGAGAGAGAGAGAGAGAGAGAGAGAGGTGGAGATGCCCACCTTTCCTGAAGGTAGGCGCAAAAACAAAGGAGGGAGCGGAGGTGGGAGATACCTCCAGCCAGAGGGGCTCTCTCTCTCTCTCTCTCTTGGTCCCAATGGCTGAAGAGAAAGTCAGGAGAAGAGGCGACTTTTGGTGCGCACTCTGGGGTCTTCAGACATGCCTCCGGACCCGAAGCGGGCCAGGTGCGGCAGCTCCGCCCCTTGGCCCACCTACGGATTGGGGAGAGGAGAGGAGGCGGGTGGAGCGCCGGGGGATCCGGAAAGGGAGCCGGTCATGGGGAAGGGATCGAACGTGGAGAACGATTGAGCGCCGGCTCTGCTCGCGCACCCGGTGGCCGGGTGGAGCAGGAACGAGAGGGGCTAGGCGAGGCTCAAGGGCCCGGCCCCTTTGGGAAGAGGATCGCCCGGCAGCGAGGCAAGAAAGCCGAGGCTCCCCCCTGCTAGGGCTGTTGTGAGCTGAGGGGGCGCTCCTCAAGTGGCAGTCGAGGGGCATTTACAGAGGCGCCTCTGCGCCCCTGGCAAAAAAAAAGTGTTCTGTGACCGCTTACTTCGCGTAATGGTCCCTTACCAGGCAATGGTTGCTGTAGATCTGCCAAGCTGGTGGTCCTGTAGATTTGCCCCACGAAGGCCGTGGAACCATTCCTTTATTTTCCAGCAAAGCTGGCTGTATTCCCCCAGCAAAAGCTGTGGAACTGTAACTTTACTCCCCAGCAAAGCTGGCTGTAGATCTGTTTCTTTAACCCCAGCAAAGCTGTAAGAAGTGAAGCTTTTTGCAGGTAGGACAGAGAAAGCCCACACGTCCTGCTGTAAGGCTCCAAACTGTGAGACTGAACTAAAAGTCCCCTTTCCCCTCCAAACCTGGGGAAAGCAGCGAATTTAAAGGCTCTAATGATGATTGATGGGTTGTTGGCCCTATGACTGCAACCTGGGGAAAGCTACCCAATTGCAAAATGCATGGCCCAAATGGATTCATGCAAACTAACAGTGCAAGAAAAAGAAATTCAAATCTCCTGGCACAGCCGCGCCAGCACAGTCAAAAAACTGGACAAAAACTTGAAAATCCATAAAAACATATTGAAAACTAAAAACCACAGCAGCCAAATAGTACATATTTTATAGGTGCTAGATTATTATTATTATTATTATTATTATTATTATTATTATTATTTCTATCCCATCTTTTTCCCCATAGGAACTCAAGGCAGTTAACAATAACAAGACTCAACCTAATAAAGTTCAAAAACAAGGAAAATATTATAGATACGAAACAGAAACCCTACTTGATTAATATGTTGGGGACCAGAGTGCTGTCAGAAACTGGAAATGGTTGAAAAGGGAAATTATTCTAAAGCCTGCAATTCCAAGACTGAACCATAGATGGAGCTAAAAAGATACAGAGGGGAGGCATTGTGTGGTCAAAAGAGTGGACAGAACCCGAAGATGTGGTATAATATCGATTTGCTGGAAGAGCGAGCCATTAGAAAACAAGGCAAGGGATCCTTGTTCAGAGTGCGCAGAAAGCCGTGTGTTGCAATTACCGTGCTTTGGAGGGCAAATGAAGTAGCGGATTCCTCCCACGCTGCCGTCGTTCTTGCCGTCAGGTTCGTCCAGCTCCACTCCGACCCACTGACCGCTGGCAAACTCGGTGGTGCCGCAAAAACGCAAGGTGCCCACCTGCAATGATATATTCATGTATGCATCACACAATGTTTTCTTGGGCTAACGCTGGTCTAAGGGCACATTTTGCATGCTCTCCAAGTTACGGGTGTATTAAATTGCATCGTACCATGGTTCCATGGTCAGAAAGTGTGCATAGAACTGCACTGGAGGGCTTACATATAGTTAGAAAAAAATTCTGGGAGTTGTAGTTCCAAAAAGGAACTTCTCTGGTGGTTTCAGGATGCAGTCATCATAGGCAGAGGCGGCCCTAGGTAATTTTCAACGGTAAGCAAACAGTATTTTGGCGCCCCCCCCCCAACCAATCATTGATATATATTTTCTGTTTGTTGTGGGAGTTCTGTGTGCCATATTTGGTTCAATTCCATCATTGGTGGAGTTCAGAATGCTCTTTGATTGTAGGTGAACTATACATCCCAGTAACTACACTTGCCGCATTTGCTCCCTTGCCTGGCCCCTTTGGGTCCGGAGGCGTGCCTGAAGACCCCAGCGTGTGCACCTCTTCTCCTGACTTTCTCCTCAGCCATTGGGACCGAGAGAGAGAGAGAGAGAGAGGTGGAGATGCCCACCTTTCCTGAAGGTAGGCACAAAAACAAAGGAGGGAGCGGAGGTGGGAGATACCTCCAGCCGGAGGGGCTCTCTCTCTCTCTCTCTCTCTTGGTCCCAATGGCTGAAGAGAAAGTCAGGAGAAGAGGCGACTTTTGGTGCGCACGCTGGGGTCTTCAGACACGCCTCCGGACCCGAAGCGGGCCAGGCACCCCTGGCAAAAAAAAGTGTTCTGCGACCGCTTACTTCACGTAATGGATGAGCCGCCTCTAATCATAGGTCATTTGCTTGACCCTCACCCTAAACTTTAGATTTAGGGTCACCTGAAATCCAAAATGACTTGAAGGCACATTAACAACAATCCTCATTAACTTGACTCTCTCATCAGTCTAAAGGTGCCCAGGAGCCTAGAAGCTGCAACGTCTTCCACGTCTAGGATTGAGGAAACTCAAGTTTAAGAAGTTTAAGGTCTTCTATACTGCCATTTGATCCAGATTATTGAAATATGGATAAGTTTATGTCAAGTCACTTTGAGTCTCTTTTGGGAGAGATAAAGTGGAGTATAAATAATAATAATAATAATAATAATAATAATTATTATTATTATTATTATTATTATATTTTGTGTCAGGAGCTACTTGAGAAATTGCAAGTCCTGGTGTGAGAGAATTGGCCGTCTGCAAGGACGTTGCCTAGGGGATGCCTGGATGATTGATGTTTTACCAACCTTGTGGGAGGCTCCTCTCATTTATTTATTTACTGCATTTATATACCGTCCCTCTTAACCCGCAGACGACTCGGGATGGTTTACACTTGGTACCTGTAAGACTGTAGGATCTATATAGCAATATTAAATGACCACTCACAAGCCGGTTTTGCTTTGAAATGAATATATTGCTTAGTACGTCCCAAAGAAAAAGAAACCCAAGAAGGCAAAATGGTTGTCTGCTGAGACACTGGAAGTAGCCCAAGAAAGGAGGAAAGCAAAAGGAAACAGGGATAAGGGGAGATATGCCCAGTTAAATGCGCAATTCCAGAGTTTAGCCAGAAGAGATAAGGAACTATTTTTAAATAAGCAATGCATGGAAGTGGAAGAAGACAACAGAATAGGAAGGAAAAGAGACCTCTTCCAGAAAATTAGAAACATTGGAGGTAAATTTCAGGCAAAAATTGGTATGATAAGAAACAAAGATGGCAGGGACCTAACAGTAGCTGAAGAGATCAAGAGAAGGTGGCGAGACTATACAGAAGATCTGTATAGGAAGGATAATAATATCGAGGATAGTTTTGACGGTGTGAATGAATTAGAACCAGACATCCTGAGGAGTGAGGTTGAATGGGCCTTAAGAAGCATTGCTAACAACAAGGCAGCAGGAGACGACGGGATCCCAGCTGAACTGTTTAAAATCTTAAAAGATGATTCTGTCAAGGTGATGCATGCCATTTGCCAGCAAATATGGAAAACACAAGAATGGCCATCAGACTGGAAAAAATCAACTTATATCCCCATACCAAAAAAGGGAAATGCGAAAGACTGCTCAAACTTCCGTACAGTGGCCCTTATTTCTCATGCCAGTAAGGTAATGCTCAAGATCCTTCAAGGAAGAATCCAGCAATACATGGAGCGAGAGTTGCCAGATGTTCAAGCTGGGTTCAGAAAAGGCAGAGGAACGAGAGACCAAATTGCCAATATCCGCTGGATAATGGAGAAAGGCAGGGAGTTTCAGAAAAACATCTACTTCTGCTTCATTGACTATTCGAAAGCCTTTGACTGTGTGGATCATAATAAATTGTGGCAAGTTCTTAGTGGGATGGGCATCCCAAGCCACCTTGTCTCTCTCCTGAGGAATCTGTACAAGGACCAAGTAGCAACAGTAAGAACTGACCACGGAACAACAGACTGGTTCAAGATTGGGAAAGGCGTACGGCAAGGCTGCATCCTCTCACCCAACCTTTTTAACTTGTATGCAGAACACATCATGCGATGTGCGGGGCTTGATGAATGCAAAGCTGGGGTGAAAATTGCTGGAAGAAACATTAACAACCTCAGATATGCAGATGACACCACTCTGATGGCCGAAAGCGAGGAGGAGCTGAGGAGCCTTCTAATCAAGGTGAAAGAAGAAAGCGCAAAATCCGGGTTGCAGCTAAACATCAAAAAAACCAAGATTATGGCAACAAGAATGATTGACAACTGGAAAATAGAGGGAGAAACCGTGGAGGCTGTGACAGACTTTGTATTTCTAGGTGCAAAGATTACTGCAGATGTAGACTGCAGCCAGGAAATCAGAAGACGTTTACTTCTTGGGAGGAGAGCAATGACCAATCTCGATAAAATAGTGAAGAGTAGAGACATCACACTGGCAACAAAGATCCGCATAGTTAAAGCAATGGTATTCCCTGTAGTAACCTATATGGATGTGAGAGCTGGACCTTAGGGAAGGCTGAGCGAGGAAGATCGATGCTTTTGAACTGTGGTGTTGGAGGAAAGTTCTGAGAGTGCCTTGGACTGCGAGAAGATCCAACCAGTCCATCCTCCAGGAAATAAAGCCCGACTGCTCACTTGGAGGGAAGGATACTAGAGACAAAGTTGAAGTACTTTGGCCACATCATGAGGAGACAGGAAAGCTTAGAGAAGACAATTATGCTGGGGAAAGTGGAAGGAAAAAGGAAGAGGGGCCGACCAAGGGCAAGATGGATGGATGGCATCCTTGAAGTGACTGGACTGACCTTGAGGACCTGGGGGTGGTGACGGCCGACAGGGAGCTCTGGCGTGGGCTGGTCTATGAGGTCACGAAGAGTCGGAGACGACTAAACGAATGAACAACAATCTCTGCAGCAAAGAAAGACACTACTGACTTTTCCCCACCACCACTTCCTTTTATACACCTTTCCTGCTCATCTCCCCCCTCTTCTCAGTTTCCTTATTAGAGCTTGTTGCTTCACAAGTTCCAATACAAGGTTTCCAGTGCCCTCTGCTTCAAAATATCACAGAGAGAGGATTGATTCAGCCAGGATGATTCAGTCAGGATGTCACAGAGGGAACTTGTGATGTCTTCATGCCGTCAGAAATTGACTCCTGACATGTACCAAGACCATAAAATACAATTTCAATACAATATCTCATGTCCCCGCACGGGGAGCTGGAGCTGACAGAGGGAGCTCAATTTGCTCTCCACAGATTCGAACCACCGACCTGTCAGTAAGCACTCAGGCCGGCACAAGGTTTTAACCCATTGCACCACAGAGGCTCCAATAATAATAATAATACATTTATATTTAATTCTGTTTTAATGTTTAGGTGTTTGTATATTTTAAATTGCATGCTGATGCTTTTATGTCAAGTCGCTTTGTGTTTCCTTCGGGAGAGATAAAATGGGGAATAAATAAATAAAATAATAATAATAATAATAATAAGGACCAGGCCATGGCACAGCTAGTTAGTAGCCAACTGCATTAAATCACTACTGACCAAGAGGTCATGAGTTTGAAGCCAGCCCGGGTCGGAGTGAGCTCCCGACCATTAATAGTCTAGCTTGCTATTGACCTATGCAGCCCGAAATCAGTTAGGGTTTAGGTTTAGAGGTGTGAGCAGTCCGGGTTAGGTTCAGGAGAGTCAGGAGTTAGGTTCAGAGGAGTGAGGAGTTAAGAGTTGGGAGAGAAGGAAAGGAAAGGTAGCGGAGTGACTTGTGAAGCAAAGCTTTGAGGCTTTGAAAAGCTGGGTTTGGCTATTGGAAGTTTCTCAGGCTAGTGCAGCCGAATGGTGAAACATAGCTGGAATTCTTTTAGTCTAAGGAGAGGCTAAAGAATAGTTTACTTAGTATTTGATCTAGGGAGGATCAAACAAGGGAAACATCCCTGTATTGAAACTTTGTCTGAAACAAGTGCTCTACGTCAGAAAGATACTGTGTTACTTGAAAGAATGAACTGTTAAAGTTACAAGTATTATTCCAAGTGCAACAAGGAAAAGTTACGTCTTGCAACCACACGCTGTGTACTTAATAAAATTGTTAACTTTTATTTGAAGATTGCCTCAGCTCCGTCTATTCTGTGTCCAAAGTGCCATTACTCACAATATTACAACTTACCTCACGTGGTGGCAGAAACGCAGGGAAAAGTAACCAAATAAACCTACATTCTTCTCTCCAGTCACACTACAGTATATACAGTGTAATTACTACTAAGTTATTACTTTCTTAATAAAGGAGGAGGTGCAATTAAACAGCCTCCCTTCTAACTTGATGGTAAATTTGGTTCCTAATCAGCAACCTCCATTGCAAATCGGCTAGTTCTTTTTAAAATTGGGAACTGGAGTAAAATCTCCTGAATACTGGTTCCTTTCAAATTGGCGGCAACAATAAATCATCCCTCGGCTCCCTTGCTTCTTTTCAAATTGACAGTTGCGTCTGATAAGTAGGAAATTTAGGTACCACTTCATGCGGGGAGGCTAATTTAACTAATTTACGACACCATAAAAACCTTCCAGCAGCGTGCAGAAGAATGAGGAAGTACTCCATCAAAGGACCCAGTTTCACAAGTGTACGGTGACACGGCAGCTCCCCCTGTGGCCGGAATCAAGCATACTCTCAGGAAGCTGGAAAGCTGGAACGTTAAATTGCCTCTGTGTATGTCTATATATGTTGTATGTCTAATGGCACTGAATGTTTACCATGTATATGTGCATTGTAATTCGCCTTGACTCCCCTGCAGGGTGAGAAGGGCAAAATATAAGTACTGTAAATAAATATCTGCTTTGATAATTTGGACTATATGGCAGTGTAGAAGGGACCTCAAAGTGGCTAACAGTAAACATAAACAGAAAAGTTGGACCATAACAGAGGTGATACCTCAATAGGCTTCTCTAACTGAGGGCCATCTTAATCATATGATGGGAACGATTTGCATGACTGCCTTGTCTCAATATTATGTCATCCTGGGAGTTGTAGTTCACCCCAATTTCCAAGGAAAACCCATCCTTACCTTCAGCCCATCCACAAGGACCCGGTCTCCGAGCTTGAGGCCGAGGGAGATGAGCATGAGGTTCCCTGGGATGTTGTCATAGTTGGGCAGAGTGACCTTCGGTAGGTTGCAGCTCAAGGGCACGGCATCCAGCAGCAGCTGCTTCAGCTCCTTGGCGATCATGGCCGCCTCCGCCTTGTCCAAAGTCATGTCCATGGGGTCTGGCACCACATCCGCAGGGACCTGGCCTTTACTATTCTGTGGGAAGGAGAGCCAAGCAGCAGAGCAGTCAGTAGAAATGTGGTCTTGGCCAGGAATCAGGCTTGCAGAGCCCTCTCAGATCCTACATAGCAGACATGGGCCAACTTTGGCTCTCCAAGTGTTTTGGACTTCAACTCTCACAATTTGTGAGAGTTGAAGTCCAAACAGAGATCCTTTTTTGGCCAAAGCTATTGCTTGTTGTTTGCTCAGTATCAAGGCCAACAATCAGACGTTACACAGTGCCAGACCTGAAGAACATCCTCTGAAGCAACAAACAGTATCAGGATACACTTTATCCTGGTTACATAGACCTCAGATGAGGATTACCATGTACCATGTATTACCTTTGGTGCTTCAGATATTTTGGACTTCAGCTCCCAGCATCTCTGGGCATTAGCTAAGGCTGCTGGGAGTCCTAAACATCTGGAGGACCAAAGGGTTGGACACAATTGCATGAAAAGACCATTGACTCCCAAATGCTAGTCCTAAAAATGTTTTGGACTTCAGTTCCCAGCATCTCTGACCATTGGCCAAAGTGACTAAGCCTGCTGGGAGTTGAAGTGCAGCATACCTGGGATTGAATTATATATATATATATATATATATATATATATATATATATATATTCTCATATAACTCTGATGCTCTATAAAGTACTGGTGCTCTCTCTTGACCAGTCCTGGACTTGGTAGTTCATTTGGTCAAAGTCATTGTTTGTTGTCYGCTTGCCTTCTGCTCCATGTCTCATATGGAAGACACTATAGAGCTGCTATATAGTGATGTTATGCTAGAATATTATGTGCCCAGGACCAACAATTGGACGTTATGACTCTATACAGACTCGGAGAACACCCTCTTAAGCAACAAACAACATCTGAATACACTCTATCCTCCATGTCTCATCTGGAAGACACTATAGAGCTGATATATATTCCAGAGCCTACCAAAGACCCCTATATCTTATGCATTCATGTTATGCTAGAATATTATGTGCCCAGGACCAACAATTGGACGTTATGACTCTATACAGACTCGGAGAACACCCTCTTAAGCAACAAACAATATCTGAATACACTCTATCCTCTGTGTCTCATCTTGAAGACACTATAGAGCTGCTATATATTCCAGAACCTACCCAAGACCCCTATATCTTATGCATTCATGTTATGCTAGAATATTATGTGCCCAGGACCAACAATTGGACGTTATGACTCTATACAGTGCCAGACTTGGAGAACACCCTCTTAAGCAACAAACAACATCTAAATACACTCTATCCTCCATGTCTCATCTGAAAGACACTACAGAGCTGCTATATATTCCAGATCCTACCCAAGAACCACATAGCTTATGCATTAATGTTATGCTAGAAATGCTATAATTGCAATATTATGTGCCCAGGCCCAACAGCCACAAGTTATGGCTACGTAGTGTCAGACTAGGAGAACATCCTCTTAAGCAACAAACAACTTCTGAATACACTCTATCCTCTGTGTCTCATCTGGAAGACACTATAGAGCTGATATATATTCCAGATCCTACCCAAGACCCCTATAATTTATGCATTCGTGTTCTGCTAGAATATTATGTGCGCAGAACCAACAATTGGATGTTATGACTCTATATAGTGCCAGACTTGGAGAACACCCTCTTAAGCAACAAACAACATCTAAATACACTCTATCTCCATGTCTCATCTGAAAGACACTACAGAGCTGATATATATTCCAGATCCTACCCAAGACCCCCATATCTTATGCATTCATGTTATGCTATAAATAATATAATTGCAACATTATGTGCCTAGGACCAATAGCCACAAGTTATGGCTACATACAGTGCCAGACATGGAGAACACCCTATTAAGCAACAAACAACTTCTGAATACACTCTTTCCTCTGTGTCTCATCTGGAAGACACTATGGAACTGATATATATTCCAGACCCTACCCAAGACCTCCATAGCTTATGTATTCATGTTATGCTAGAAATACAATAACTACAATATGATGTGCCCAGAACCAAGAGCCAGAAGTTATGGCTACATACAATGCAAGACTAGGAGAACATCCTCTTAAACAACAAACAACACCTGAATACACTCTATCCTCTGTGTCTCATCTGGAAGACACTATAGAGCTGATATATATTCCAGACCCTGCCCGAGACCCCCATAGCTTATACATTCATGTTATGTTAGAAATAATATAATTGCAACATTATGTGCCTAGGACCAACAGCCACAAGTTATGGCTACATACAGTGCCAGACGTGGAGAACATCCTCTTAAGCAACAAACAACATCTGAATACACTCTATCCTCTGTGTCTCATCTGGAAAACACTATAGAACTGATATATATTCCAGATCCTACCCAAGACCCCCATATCTTATGCATTCATGTTATGCTATAAAATACAATAACTACAATATGATGTGCCCAGAACCAAGAGCCAGAAGTTATGGCTACATACAATGCAAGACTAGGAGAACATCCTCTTAAACAACAAACAACACCTGAATACACTCTATCCTCTGTGTCTCATCTGGAAGACACTATAGAGCTGATATATATTCCAGACCCTGCCCGAGACCCCCATAGCTTATACATTCATGTTATGTTAGAAATAATATAATTGCAACATTATGTGCCTAGGACCAACAGCCACAAGTTATGGCTACATACAGTGCCAGACGTGGAGAACATCCTCTTAAGCAACAAACAACATCTGAATACACTCTATCCTCTGTGTCTCATCTGGAAGACACTATAGAACTGATACATATTCCAGATCCTACCCAAGACCCCCATATCTTATGCACATAATATTCACACCCAACCCCGCTTGCTTTTCTCACCCTGACCGCCGGGTTGGCTCCGTGTTCGAGGAGACACTTCACGGCCCCCAGACACAGGTTCGAAGCCGCAATGTGGAGGGCCGTCCCGTGGTTGAAATCGCTACAGGTGGAGTTGAGGACTTTAAAAAGGGGAGAAAACACATAAGTCAAGCAGGAGGGTTACGGGACGCCCCGCCTGCCCCGTCCTGGAGGAAAGGAAGGGGTGCGAAAGCCGAGAAAGGAGGTAAAGAAAGAAAGAAGGAAGGTACTTACAGTAGGTTAGGTTCTGTATAAAACAAGGATCTGGAAGGAAGTGAAAGCCATGCGATACTGATCTGGGCCAGACCTCTTTGCATCCTGACCCCCAAGGCAGGCATGGGGCAACTTGGGCCCTCCAGGTGTTTTGGACTGCAACTCCCACAATTCCTAACAGCCAGTAGGCTGTTAGGAATTGTGGGAGTTGTAGTCCAAAACACCTGGAGGGTCCAAGTTGCCCCATGCCTGTCCTAAGATCATAAACCTTTGAAATCTTTACTAATTGATAATAGTTTAAACATTTCAACCTTACTTTTCCCTTCTAACAAGCTTATCCAGTCAATATTAAATACAAATTTTAATTTTATATTTTATTGGTATTGGTGTTTTAATGTTTATGTATTTTATTACATGTACTTTAATGGTATTGTCTTTGATCTGTCTGTTTCAACTGCGTTGTATCTTGCCTCAACCCTCCAGGAGAGGCAGATAATAATGACCTCTGAGGAAGCTTGCCATAGATGCAGGCGAAACGTCAGGAGAAATGCCTCTAGAACATGGCCATATAGCCCGAAAAAACCCACAAGAACTGAATAATAATAATAATAATAATAATAATAATAATAATAATAATAATAATATTGTTGTTGTTATCTGCCTCTCCTTATTATTATTATTATTATTATTATTATTATTATTATTTTACTGACACAAAAGCACAGTATGTCACAGCAAACGAGATCTATATGCTGGATTTCGTATCACAAAATCACAAGTCGAACACTTCCCAAGCATAATAATAATAATAATAATAATAATTATTATTATTATTATTATTATTGTATTGTTGTTATTGTTGTGTTTTATCTGAGTGTTACACCTCACCTTGAGCCTTGATGAGAGGCAGATAGCAAATATTTTGTATTATTATTATTATTACGCTTGGGAAGTGTTCGACTTGTGATAATAATAATAATAATAATAATAATAATAATAATAATTGTATTATTATTTATAATAATAATAATAATAATTGTATTATTATTGTATTGTTATTGTTGTGTTTCATCTGAGTGTTACACCTCACTTTGAGCCTTGATGAGAGGCAGATATTTTGTATTATTATTATTATTATTATTACGCTTGGGAAGTGTTCAACGTGAAATAATAATAATAATAATAATTATTATTATTATTATTGTATTCTTGTTATTGTTGTGTTCTATCTGAGTGTTATACCTCACCTTGAGTCTTAATGAGAGGCAGATAGCAAATATTTTGTATTATTATTATTATTGTGCTTGGGAAGTGTTGTGAAATAATAATAATAATAATAACAATTATTATTATTATTATTGTATTATTGTTATTGTTGTGTTTTATCCGAGTGTTACACCTCACCTTGAGCCTTGATGAGAGGTACATAGCAAATATTTTGTATTATTATTGTTATTATTATAGTGTTGTTGTTTTTTATCTGAATGTTATACCTCACCTTGACCCTTGATGAGGAGCAGATAGCAAATATTTTGCATTATTATTATTACTATTATTATGATTATTATAGTATTGTTATTGTTGTGTTTTATCTGAGTGTTACACCTCACCTTGAGCCTTGATGAGAGGCAGATAGCAAATATTTTGTATTATTATTATTATTACGCTTGGGAAGTGTTCGACTTGTGAAATAATAATAATAATAATTATTATTATTATTATTATTGTATTCTTGTTATTGTTGTGTTTTATCTGAGTGTTATACCTCACCTTTAGCCTTGATGAGAGGCAGATAGCAAATATTTTGTATTATTATTATTATTACGCTTGGGAAGTGTTCGACTTGTGAAATAATAATAATAATAATAATAATAATAATAATAATTGTATTATTATTTATTATAATAATAATAATTGTATTATTATTGTATTGTTGTTATTGTTGTGTTTCATTAGAGTGTTACACTTCACTTTGAGCCTTGATGAGAGGCAGATATTTTGTATTATTATTATTATTACGCTTGGGAAGTGTTCGATTTGTGAAATAATAATAATAATTATTATTATTATTATTGTATTGTTGTTATTGTTTTCTTTTATCTGAGTGTTACACCTCACCTTGAGCCTTGATGAGAGGCAGATAGCAAATATTTTGTATTATTATTATTACTATTATTATTATTGTATTGTTATTGTTGTGTTTTATCTGAGTGTTATACCTCACCTTGAGCCTTGATGAGACGCAGATAGCAAATATTTTGTATTATTATTATTATTATTATTATTACGCTTGGGAAGTGTTTGACTTGTGAAATAATAATAATAAAATTATTATTATTATTATTATTATTATTATTATTTATTCTTGTTATTGTTGTGTTTTATCTAAGTGTTATACCTCACCTTGAGCCTTGATGAGAGGCAGATAGCAAATACTTTGTATTATTATTACTATTATTATTATTATGCTTGGGAAGTGTTCGACTTGTGAAATTATTATTATTGTTGTTGTTGTTGTATTCTTGTTATTGTTATGTTTTATCTGAGTGTTACACCTCACTTTGACCCTTGATGAGAGGCAGATAGCAAATATTTTGTATTATTGTTATTATTATTATTATTATTATTATTATTATTATTATTATTTCATATGGAGCCCCCCGATGATGCAGCAGGTTAAACCCTTGTGCCGGCAGGACTGAAGACCAACAGGTCAGAGGTTCAAATCAGGGGAGAGTGCAGATGAGCTCCCTCTGCCAGCTCCAGCTCCCCATGTGGGGACATGAGAGAAGCCTCCCACAAGGATGGTAAAAACATCAAAAACATCAAAAACATCTGGGTGTCCCCTGGGCAACATCCTTGCAAATGGCTAATCCTCTCACACCAGAAGCGACTTGCAGTTTTTCAAGTCGCTCCTGACACGAAAATATTATCATCATTATTATTGTTTATAACCTGCTATATTATATTATTATATTAATATTAATATTAATATTATTTATTTATTTATTTATTTACGACATTTATATGCCGCCCTTCTCACCCCGAAGAGGAGTCAGAGCGGCTTACAAAGTATATATACATACAATATATTATTAACATAGTACAATATCAGTTTTAAATATTGCTATATTGCACTATATCAATTATACTGTAATATTATTAGTAATATTACATGTAATATAATTATATAATTATAATATCATATTATTAGTAGTAGTATTATATTGCATTACATTACAATATTATAAATTTGTATGTTCCTTGTAACAATGGTGTGGAATAACAATAATAGCAATAACAACAATAATAACACATTATTAATAATATAAATATAATAATGTTATAAGTGCAACCTTATTTGTTATTTAATGCTGTACCTTTGGCCTTGGAGGTCTTAAGGAGGATGCAGATAATAATAATAATAATAATAATAATAATAATAATATCAGTGCAATTTGCCAACTTGCTTCTTATCATCCAGTTAAGTGACTTCAGACACAGTTGTTTCTACTTCAGTAGCGGCTCTAACCTTTATTTACATTTCATTCTTTGCAATAACACTTACTCATTAGTACAGTCAGATGCAAAGGAGAAGAGCCAAGAGAGAGAACAAAGTGGTCTATTTATACCCCACTGTTATCATCTCATTAATTCAGTGTCCAGCTTCCTAGTCTATTGCTACATCTTCCTTTTCTGTTCCACATATGCTTCATAATGTTCCATAACTTAACTCTTTCACAGCTAGCAGCATGGAGATTTTAAACTTGCACAATATATATATACACATTACACTGATATAATAATAATAATAATAATAATAATAATAATAATAATAATAATAATAATAATAATAATACAGTATTATTATGGTTGTTGTTATTATAATTACAAAATGTTATTACAACAAAGTCTGACCCCCTTTGAGATAAGTACAACCTTATTTGGTATTTAATGCTGTGCTTTTGGGCTTGGAGGACTTTAGTAGGATGCGGATCATTATTATTATTATTTATCATCATCATCATACACTATTATTGTTATTATTCTTGTTATTTTTGTTGCAAACCAGTGTTACAAGGAAATCCATTCCCCTTTGTGATAAATAGAACCTTATTTGGTATTTAATGCTGTACTTTTGGGCTTGGAGGCCTCAAGGAAGATGCAGATTATAATATTATTATTTTATTATTGTTATTGTTATTATTAATAATATTAATATAGTGTTGTTATTATTCTTGTTATAGTTATTCCAAACCATTGATATAAGGACATGTTATTTTACTACTACTACTACTACTACTACTACTAGTGTTGTTATTATTCTTGTTATAATTATTCCAAACCATTGATATAAGGACATGTTATTTTACTACTACTACTACTACTACTAATACTAATAATAATAATAATAATAATAATAATAATAATATAATATTATTATTTTATTACTGGTATTGTTATTATTACTATTAATAATCTTAATATAGTGTTGTTATTATTCTTGTTATAATTATTCCAAACCATTGATAAAAGGACATGTTATTTTATATAACAATAATAAAGTAAATAAATTTTACTAATAATAATAGTAATAATAATAATAATAATAATAATAATAATAATATAGTATTATTGTTTTTATTCCCCTTCTTGTTATTCTTATTATTATTATTCCAAAACATTGTTACAACAAAGCCAGCTCCCCTTTTTGATAAGTCCAACCTTTTGTGTTATTGAAGGCTGTAACTTTGGGCTTGGAGGCCTTAAGAAGGATGCAAATGACGACAACAACAACAACTACTACACAGTATTATTATTGTTGTTGTGATTCCACAATGTCATTATAAGAAAGTCTGTTCCTCTTTGTGATAATTACAACCTTATTTGGTATTGAATGCTGTACTTTTGGGCTTGGAGACCTTTAGCAGGATGTGGATAATAATAATAATAATAATAATAATAATTATTATTATTATTATTATTATTATTATTATTATTATTATTATTATTATTATTATTCATCAACATCATAATACACTCTTATTGTTATTATTATTGCAAACTGTTGTTACAAGGAAGTCTGTCCCTTTTGTGATAATTACAACCTTATTTGGTATTTAATGCTGTACTTTTGGGCTTTAGCAAGTTGTGGATGATGATGATGATGATGATTATTATTATACATCAACATCATAATACACTCTTATTGTTATTATTATTATTGCAAACCGTTGTTACAAGGAAGTCTGTTCCCCTTTGTGATAATTACAACCATATTTGGTATTTAATGCGGTACTTTTGGGCTTGGAGGCCTTAAGGAGGATGCAGTCATTATTATAATATCATTATTATTGCTATTGCTAATATTAATAATAACAAAAACAACAACAACAACAATAATAATAATAATAATGCAGTATTGTTGTTGTTGTTGTTGTTGTTGTTGTTGTTATAATTATTCCAAACAATTGATATAAGGGCATGTTATTTTACTACTACTACTACTACTACTACTACTACTACTACTACTAATAATAATAATAATAATAATAATAATAAATATTATACAGTATTATTGTTGTTATTCTCCTTGTTGTTATTCTTATTATTATTCCAAAATGCTGTTACAAGGAAGTCTGTTCCCCTTTGTCATTAGTACAACCTTTTTTGGTATTTAATACTGTACTTTTGGGCATAGAGGCCTTAAGGAGGATGCAGTCATTATTATATCATTATTATTGCTATTGCTATTGCAATTATTAATAATAACAAAAACAACAACAACAACAACAATAATAATAATAATAATAATAATGAATTATTGTTGTTATTGTTCTTGTTATAATTATTCCAAACCATTGATATAAGGGCATGTTATTTTACTACTACTACTACTACTAATAATAATAATAATAATAATAATACAGTATTATTGTTGTTATTCTTCTTGTTGTTATTCTTATCATTATTCCAAAATGCTGTTACAAGGAAGTCTGTTCCACTTTGTGATAATTACAACCTTTTTTGATATTTAATGCTGTACCTTTGGGCTAGGAGGTTTTGAAGAGGATACAGATCATTAATATTAATAATATAATAATACTATATGGTTGGTGTTATTCTTGCTATTATTATTCCAAACCATTGCTACAAGGAAGTCTGTAGCAACTTTGTAATAAGTACAACCCTATTTGTTATTTAATGCCGTACCTTTGGGCTTGAGGCTTTAAGGAGGATACAGATAATTAATATTAATAATATAATAATACTATATTGTTGTTATTGTTATTATTATTCCAAACCATTGCTACAAGGACATCTGTTCCCCTTTGTGATAAGTACAACCTTTTTTTTGGTATTTAATACCGTATCTTTGGGCTTGGAGGCTTTGAAGAGGATACAGATCATTATTATTAATATTAATAATATAATAATACTATATTGTTATTGTTATTCTTGCTATTATTATTATTCCAAACCATTGCTACAAGGACATCTGTTCCCCTTTGTGATAAGTACAACCTTTTTTTTTTTTTTTTTTGGTATTTAATGTCGTATCTTTGGGCTTGGAGGCTTTAAGGAGGATACAAATAATTAATATTAATATTAAAAATATAATAATACTATATTGTTGTTATTGTTATTATTATTCCAAAATGCTATTAAAAGGAAGTCTGTTCCCCTTTGTGATAATTACAACCTTATTTGGTATTTAGTGTCATACTATTGGGCTCGGAGGATTTAAGGAGGATACGGAACATTATTACTAATATTAATATTAATAATATAGTACTACGATATTGTTATTGTTGTTATTATTATTCCAAACCATTGCTACAAGGACATCTGTTCTCCTTTGTGATAAGTACAACCTTTTTTGGTATTTAATGTCATACCTTTGGGCTTAGAGGCTTTGAAGAGGATACAGATCATTATTATTATTGTAATTATTATTATATTAATAATATAATAATACTATATTGTTGTTATTCTTGCTATTATTATTATTATTATTAATAATAATAATAATATAATATAATAATACTACATTGTTGTTGTTATTCTTGCTATTATTATTATTATTATTAATAATAATAATATATTAATAATATAATGATACTATATTGTTGTGGTTATTCTTTATATTATTATTATTATTATTATCATTATTATTATTCCAAACCATTGCTACAAGGACATCTGTTCCCCTTTGTGATAAGTACAACCTTTTTTGGTATTTAATGTCATACCTTTGGGCTTAGAGGCTTTGAAGAGGATACAGATCATTATTATTATTGTAATTATTATTATATTAATAATATAATAATACTATATTGTTGTTATTCTTGCTATTATTATTATTATTATTAATAATAATAATAATATAATATAATAATACTACATTGTTGTTGTTATTCTTGCTATTATTATTATTATTAATAATAATAATATATTAATAATATAATGATACTATATTGTTGTGGTTATTCTTTATATTATTATTATTATTATTATCATTATTATTATTCCAAACCATTGCTACAAGGACATCTGTTCCCCTTTGTGATAAGTACAACCTTTTTTGGTATTTAATGCTGTAACTTTGGGTTTGGAGGCTTTGAAGAGGATACAGATCATCATCATCATCATCATTATTATTATTATTATTATTATTATTATTATTATTATATTAATAATATAATGATACTATATTGTTGTTATTCTTGCTATTATTATTATTA